GTATAACATTGGTAACTATAGGTGACAACACTGTATAGTATAATTGAAGTTTGTTAATAGTAGGATTTAAATGTTCTCACACATATACACAGACACAAAAAGTAAATATGTGAGGTGATGCATGTATTAACTCAATGGGGGAAAATCCTTTCACAGCGTATAGGTACCTATTTCACATCATCAACTTAAGTATCTTACAATTTCATTTGTAAATTATATCTCAATAAAGGTGAGGAAAAGAAAAAGAAAACAGTGACTATCACTTACCACCTGCTTCTGTTTACGCCATGAGGTTATTTTAACCTCATTAAAAGGTAGTCTAGCTAAATAATTACTTGGTAAGTTAGCATCCCTGGGAAGACAGCATGGGGCATAGGAAGAGGACTTTGCACAGTAAACTGTCTTCTTACATTAGTCATTCATTTATGGCCCTTTTAATTAACTTCACTGTCATTTCTCCTATTTACCTCCTCATCTCAAATCCCTTCCTAAAACTTTTCAAAAGATATCTTCCGTTACTTCATTGAGTCTTTTGTGTAGCAATGTAATACTAACAAAATACTACTGAAATTAATAATGTGAACATTATTTTAACTTCTACTTCTCATTTACACTAAACCACTAGCTCAAATGTCCATTTGATCTTGTGTTAATTAAAAACACTAATTAAAGCCTTCTCCTACTGGAGCAATATTTGGAGTAGGAACTGTGTCTTCTCTCAAACACTGCAATAAAACTTTTCAACTGTCCTTTCTAAAAGAGAGATTTTTTTTAAATGTTAAATATCAGACCTTCGTACTGAGATTAGTTTAAATTGCCTCACTTTCTTCAACTGCCTATCATCTATATAGGACAATTAAAAATGAGTGATTTCCAATTTCATTATACCTTTCAAATGTACAAGCTATAGTAAAATCAAAGTACTGAATTCTAGTGCACACGTTCAAAATGTTCTAAATTACTACATACGCTTAAAGGAAAAAATACCTCAGCTCAATCAAAGGTGAATTTGTAAGTACTGCTCTTCCAACACTCGACAATTATTTTCTGAATATTACATATTCAATAATACATAGTACATGCCAGGCACTGTTTTATACTCTGGGGAACCTGCAGTGAAAAAAACAAACATAAACCCCCGCCCTCAAGGTATTCAGTAGGTGTTCTAACCCACTGAAGTTTAGAAGTCTGATCCCAAAGAATAAACAGAAATCTATTCTCAAATCAAAAGAAAGTCATCCTCAAAAGCCTGGTTAACAACCTGAGGGGGGGAACACTGCAAAAGTATGAAGGAAATAAAAGCCTTTGAAGAAAAAAAAGTTTCCAAGCTACTACCCTTTCCAAAAAAATTATTTTTTAATTATAAAACTTTAGTTTATTAAAACTGTGAGATATTGTCATGAGAATAGACATGTACAACAATGAAACAGAAAAGAGAGCAGAGAAACAGAGCTACAATGGACCCTCTGTAAATGTCTGTCCTGACAGACATTATATAAATTATGGTGGCAGTATATAAATTATGGCATTATATAAATTAGTTGGGAAAGAATACAGCACTGAATTAATGGTACTAGCCACACAGAGCATATTATAAATTAGATTCCTACTATATCCAACAAAAAGAAATTCAAGATGGATTGAAAACTTACAGGTGAAAAGCAAAACCATGAAACTTTTAAAAGAAAACATAGAACATCTTTACAATATCAGCATGTGAAAGAACTTCGTAAGACCTCAAAGCCCAAAGCATAAAGGAAAAGATTTAAATTTAAACTTTCTGGAGGAAGGAAGGATGGGGAGTTCGGGATTAGCAGAAGCAAACTATTACACATAGGATGGATAAACAACAAGGTCCTACTGTATAACTATATTCAATATCCTGTGATAAACCATAATGGAAAAGAATATGAAAAAGAAAAAAAATATACATATAACTGAGTCACTTTGCTCTACAGCAGAAATTAGCACAAGATTGTAAATCAACTATACTTCAGTAAAATTTAAAAAATAAATAAAAAATAAATTTAAACTTTCTGGTGACAAAAGAAGCTCAAAAGAAAACAAATAATTTTGATTATTCATATACTCTTCAAAAGATAATATATGCCAGACAACCAGCAGTTGATTATTTTGAATCACGTAAATTTGGGGTATACTAAACCACAATTAAAAAGGACCCACAGACTACTAATTATTGGTTCTATGATTATGGATATAAAGAAATTAACAGATCAGAACAGCAGCCACCACTATCATTTATCATGTGCCTGCAAGGTAGCAATCACTGCCTTAGCTATTTTATATACATTCCCTCTAATACTATCCAATCAGTGTTGCTGCTTTATAGTCTGACAAGTGAACAGAACAAAATGAACTAAATATTAACCATGTGGTTACTATATAGGAAAGCACTTCCTCTTTAAAAAAATAGCAGTAGTTAAGAGATAACACATTTTAAAAGAGAAATAGAATTGCCACCAAACTTGAGTAGTAAAACAGATCATTCTTTCTGGGATAAGAGGTAATTTTTAACTTGGGCTACTTTTAAGTACAACATATCTTGGCTTCTGCTTCTTCAATTGTCCAACTAAGGGTTTAGACAAAAGCCAACAAGAGGTAGTGAAAAAAAGCACTAGATCAAGAGCCAACTCAAGACCAAACCCATCTCTGACACTAGGTAGGTGAGTTTGGGAAAGCCATTTCTCTTGAGGCTTTAATTTCTTCATCAATAAAATAGGCATCATAATGCCATTAATGCAAGCTTCCTCTGAGATCATGCGAAAGAACTTATAAGCTAGAAAGTATTCACAATAATAAGGAATTATTACATAATCTCTATGAGACCTGTCAGGTCTAAAATGATGGTGCTAAAAATCTATGCCCCATAATTATTTCTGGGCTAGGAACCACTGAATACAAACAGGATACTCATATAACATTCAGATATTTACTGAAAGGCCCTGATTTTAGAGTACTACTTTCATAAAGTCTTTTTAAAAAGTCCAAACGGTCAAGGATTCCAGTACCAGGTGCCAGAAAGAAAGATCAAAACGTAAGGAAATTAGTTGCTACCTGCTCCCTCCTTCTGTTCAATCACAGAGGATACCGATAAAAACAAGAAAGAGCTGAGTTCCACACAAAAGAATAACCAATAGCAGGAGGCAAGGTAACATGAATCTGGAGTTCCCAGGAGGTAAGAAAGAGTAAAAAGAAGATGGACATTTTATACTGATTGAACAGTTACATTTGCCTATTAATATACCAAATCAACTAATAAACACAGCATTTAGTATGTAAAGGATATGGTACAAAGGAAAGTCATGTACCAATATATCAATCCCCAAATAATTCTTGTTCTAAACACAATACAATTATGTTGGTCCCAATAAAATAACTACGGAACACAAACAGTAAGAGACCATGGACCCTACCCCACAGCAGAGTGGAGCGTTCTGCAGTGTTCTCCAACACTTCCGGGACTTTGCACAGGCTGCTTCTGGCCTGGAAACAACCAGCCTTCCCCTATCCGCCTGAGGATCTCTTACTCACTTCCAAATCAAGTATCACCTCCAGAGTTCAATGGCCCCTCCCTGCACCTCAACGGCGCTTCATATTATATTACAGGACAGGTTATGAAACGTGTCATATTGTCCTGTTCTACAGCTGCTTCTGCATCTGACTCCCGCACTACACTGAGGGCTCCTTGAGGAAGCACACTGCATTTTATTCATCTATCTATTCTCATCTCTAACACCATGGCTGGCTCAAAGTGCGTGCTTGCTGACTGACTAAAAGAATAAATAAATGCTGACACTCCACGTAATTACTTATCATCAAAAGAATTAAAAAATGAACCCTTTAAAATTTGTTAAAGATAGAGTTATTATTTAGATGGAATTAAAGAGAATGGGAAAGGATCCAGGGAGGAAAACAAAGTAAAGCTCTCATGCACTATTATGGTAACAGAAAGACCAACAGAGGCAGCACAGTAAATTAGAAAGAACAAAGTACGTGGCAGAGGCCAAGGCATTTAGTCTTGCTTATGGTTCTTCACCTGCAAAATGAAGACAAACTGCTTGAAATGACTAAAGAGAATGCTAACTGGAAAACTGTAAACATACAAGGGATTAAAAATGAAAGTGACTTTCCAGACATAAAGAGGAGTGTTATTGCTCAATGCTACAGACAGAAAAGCCAAACCAACCCAGAAGATATGAATTAGTTGAAGTCAAGGGCACAGAAATAACTAGGACTCAAAATTTTAAATATATTAAATACAAATGCAGCAAGAGAATACATGTTATATTTCTTACAATTTCCATATTTCTTACAATTTCCCTTAGTTAAGAAATCGAAGAAACGAAAATTAATTTGTTTGATTCCCCCCAAAACAGGAAGGAGTATGATCTGAAGCCCCACGTATGTCAAGACTCCTGTGAGAGCCGTGTAGAGGGCATGACTATAACCATCTCCCTCAGAGACAGCGCCAAAGCACACGGGTACATCCAGGATGAAACTGCCCAGCATCTCTGAGCTGGATCCATGTTTCTCCTATTGAAGAACAAAACAGTTAAGCCCAGGATCAATGTGGCTCATCCTCTTGAAACACCAATAATCTCAGATTTAGGAAGGAATCTTCTCTTATTTTAAAACCAACAAACATAAGGGATATGTTATGGACAAGGATACAAAAATTCACAAGATAGAATAAGAAACTTCAAAGATATATAATGATTCCAGGAAACTTCTTTGGGCTATATCCCCAGATCCAAGAGGACTAGATTCATTCTTTTTTTTTTAATTTTCTTTACTGTGATAAGAATGATATATACAGTAAAATGCACAAATCTTCAGTGAACAGCTCCATGAAACCTTATTAATGCATACACCCCTGTAATGTACAATTAAGAGCAAATTCAGATGAAAATCTATAATATTCAAGATTCATTCAACTCTGTCCTTAAGGGGACCCTGGCGAAGATGCCAATTTGTATTACCTGTTCTTGCCCCTGGCGACTGTAAAACTTGCCACTTAACATCCTTAATAATCCCAGGGTCTTTGGTACCTACAAAATAGACACACATCATAAAAAAAAAGATCAATGGAAGGCTTCCTCATTGTTTAAAGGCCTTTCATCATGAAATGAAAACTACAGCATATCTAGTATTTTAAGAAATGGTTAAGAAAATCATGAATAAGTATCAGAAATCTTGGTGAGATTTTGTTTTTGTTTGGGAAAGAAAATCCAACAAGTGACAAATCTTACAAAATGTACCCATAATCAAATGTATTTTTAAATACATACGTAACAAGTCTAGTACAATCTATGCAAATTAGAATCTAATGAGTGGCTCTTCTCAAATGAGTCTGGCCCAGGTTACCATTTTATCCTAGCATCACTATGGAAAAGGTCAATACTCCCAACAGAAATTTCATTCATGAAGAAATTGATCCCATACTTGAAAAACACCAGAAAAAAATCACTGAGAAACAAGTATTTGAAATAATAAAACAAGACTATTTTTGTCTCTAGATTTAAGAAATATACTTAAAGCAAGAGGGAGAGATGTGTATAATTTTTTAGAAATGGAAAATAAGCATTGTTGAAGTTGTAGAGAATTTGGAACACTGGTACATTGCTGGCAGGAACATAAAATGGTACAACCACTGTGGAAAACAGTCTGGTGGTCGTTCAAAAGTTAAACGGAATTACCATATGATCCAGAAATTCCATACTAAGTATATACCCAAAAGAACTGAAAACAGGTGTTCAAACAAATACCTGTACACACAAATGTTCACAGCAACGTTATTCATAATAGCCAAAAAATAGAAACAATTTAAATGTCCACTAACTAAAGAATGGATAAACAAAAGGCAGGGCTTCCCTGGTGGCGCAGCGGTTGAGAGTCCGCCTGCCGATGCAGGGGACACGGGTTCGTGCCCCGGTCCGGGAAGATCCCACATGCCGCGGAGCAGCTGGGCCCGTGAGCCATGGCCACTGAGCCTGCACGTCCAGAGCCCGTGCTCCGCAACGGGAGAGGCCACAGCAGTGAGAGGCCCGTGTACCGCAAAAATAAAATAAAATAAAATAAAAATAATAAATTTTTTAAAAAGGCAGTATATCCATACAACGGAATATTATTCAGTCGTAAAAAGGAATGAAGTACTGATGCACACTAAAATTTGGATGGACCTCAAAAATATGTCGCTAAAAGAGAGAAGCCAGATACAAAAGTCTCATACTGTATGATTCCATTCATATGAAATTTTCAAAACAGGTAAATCCATATAAACAGAAAGCAGACCAGTGACTGCCAGGAGCTGAGGTGAGGGAACAAAAGGGAGTGACTGTTTAATGGGTCTGGTGTTTCCATTTGGGGTGACGAAAATGTCTTGGACCTAGATAGTGGCGACAGTTGCACAACACTGTGAATGTACTAAATGCCACTGAACTGTACACTTTAAAATATTTAATGGTCCATTTTATGTTATATGAACTTTTCCTTAATTTAAAAGAAAAAGGCAAGGGGGGGGCTGTATTCTTAAGCTGAGGTTAAAAATGTTCCTACCAGAACTGCTGAGCAGCTGAAGATATTACTGACGGCCTAGCTCCACATTTCCTCCAAAAACAAGAAAATACAAGAAGAGAAAAATAAATCTGCATGAAAACCACACCCTCACTTAACTTGAAGATCAAGGATCTTCAAAATCATTGTAAGTAGAAAGAGAAAAACCACCAAACTCCAGTGTGTCATCTCCACTGCTCTTGCCATCCCCACACTCCCACCCACCCTGACCCAGGCCGACACAGGCTTGTGGTGAGCAAAAGCAGACTGAAAACACACTGCAGGGTCCAGGAGGACAGATGCGACAAGCTAGCAAAGGGGACTAAGGTCAATCTAAAACCACTGCCAAAAATTGTAGTCTAAGAAAACTTTCCAGAAATGAAAAAAGACCTGAATCTATATATTGAAAGAGTGAACAGGTACCTGGGAAAATTAACCCAGAAAAATCAACTCCAAGAAATATTCCAGGAAGGATACTAGATTTCAAAGATAAAGGAAATCCTCAAGGCCTCCAAACAAAATGGCCAAGTAACATACAAAGAGAAGATAATTTGACTTGCATCAACTTTTCAAATTCCACATAAAAGCAAAGTAACAATAGTGCTGTGTTTTTTTAAAGCTCAGTGAAAGAACAGGTAAACCAAAGATTTTATATCCAGATAAGTTTTCCTTCAAATGTCCAGGCTATGAAAAACAATTCTGACACACAAGAACTTAAGGAACTCTTCATCTGTGAGCCCTTCTCAAAATATCTATTAGAGGATAATTTCATCCAACCAAGAGGTGACTGGGAAAACTTCAAACAAAGGGACAGGGAACATTTTAAAATACATAAATGAACATCTATGACTAAAGAAACATGATGATGAGGGTTGAAACTATCGTATAAATATTGTGTGTTTTGACAAAATAGAAATAATGCAACTAGAAAAGAGAGGAAAAAGGAGAAGGGGAAAATAAAACCAACTAACTGATTGTTGTACAGGCAATTAATAGGAATTAAAGAATACCAATAAACTGATAAACTGGTAAAATACTGGAGGGCACCGATAACATCAGTAAGACAGTTTCAGTGAAATCATGGAGATAAAGCCCCATTCAAGTGAATTCAAGAGAGAAAAGAAAAGTTGGAAATGGATCAAGTATAGATGACTCTTGAACATGCTGAAGGAAAGGAACAAATGGGCTGGTAGCAGGATTTAGTAGGTTCTAAGTCCCCTAAAACTAAAGAGTTTTTACAATGGGAAAAATAAATGCATGTTGTTTGCTGATAAACCTAATGGGCAGCAAGATTCAAGATGTGGATAAACATCCTTCAATTAGCAAGTGTGAGATGCAGTGGACAAACGGAGGAGCTGGCCTTAGCTAGTGCAAGTACAGCTCACCTGTAATAACAAGAGAAAAGCTACGGAAATTAGGTGCATGTGTAGGCAGGTGGTAGGATCTTATGAAAATATTCTGATTACTTCTGTTTTCTCAGGGAAACAGGATTTCAAAAACCCTGTGTTCTTTCCAGAACAACATTCTATACTGAAAAGGAAGCAGCATCAATAACAAAAAAGTCAGTTTTGTTCATTTTTTATACATTTTTTCCAAAATTTCCACCTTAATAAGACAAATAGATAATAATTAACACTGTAGAACATTTTATTGTTTATCAATGGCCTTCATATATATTACCTCATTTGATCCTGGCAAGAGCCTTAAGACACCAGTGGTAAGTGCTGAGCTAGAATTCCAATCCCAACCTTCTGACTCCTGAGCCGGGCTCCTTCCTTCCCCCCAGTGACTGAACTCTCCCCTGGTATTTGCTATAGCTTCTTGCCCTTATTTGTGGGCACAGCTGTACCTCCAGTACAGTAAACCCCTTGAGGGCTGCTACCTGTATGTTCTGATACCTGCATCGGTGATTTGATGTTGAACAAATGAATAAATAAAACTATCTCCTACAGATGGCACGGACATTAATTTGGAAACTTTGCTCAAGGTATATATGGAATTTTGCATAGCCTCTTTTACAACCCAACAGCCTTGTGAGAGATGAGAATATATGTGTCAGCAGCATTTTTCGGTCGATATTCACCCCAAAACAATAGCAGCCTTAAACAAACAATAAGAGGTTCGATGCAGACAATATCTGTCACCTGACAAGAGGAACTAATCTTATAGTTTCAAATTACTTTGAGGTAGGGGAAGGCTACACAGAATGATTGTGCGTTTAGCTGCAAGACACATTAAAAAGGCACTAACAGGGCTTCCCTGGTGGTGCAGTGGTTGAGAGTCCGCCTGCCGATGCAGGAGACACGGGTTCGTGCCCCGGTCCGGGAAGATCCCACATGCCGCGGAGCGGCTGGGCCCATGAGCCATGGCCGCTAAGTCTGCGCGTCTGGAGCCTGTGCTCCGCAGCGGGAGAGGCCACAACAGTGAGAGGCCCGCGTACCGCAAAAAAAAAAAAAAAAAAGGCACTAACATAATTAAAGTACACTTGCAGCATTTCAAGAAGTTTATCATACGGTGGAGCACTCAATTTGCAATTCAGTATTTCCCCCCACTTATTTTGTCACTGCACAAGCAATTTTCCTTTAAGAGACTCCAATACTGAAGCTTCAGGCCAGAGAGGGAAGGACCATACATAGCAGAGCAGATTCCAATACTTCAGTAAGGAGCAAAGTGAAAGCACGGAGAAGTTAAAGAAGCCACGTGAAAAAAGGTTTCATAGTACGTGACAGTCCTCCGTGCCTTCCCCTGTCCCAGACTCTGTCACAAATATACTTGATTACAACATACTGAAATGGCCCTTCACAGTTTGCCCACTTTCTCTCGCCTTATATCCTCCATACTTACCAATTCTTCCTTTTTTTCCCTCAACCTTTAATTTTGACAAATTTCCTAGCTACTGAAAAGTTGAAATGATTACACAATGAAATACCAGTATACCTTTTACCTGAGTTCACCAATTATTAACAATTAGCCACATTTGCTTTATCTGTATGTGTATGTATACTTTTTTAAAAATTGTTTTTTGACTGAACCATTTAAAAATAAGCTACAGGGACTTCCCTGGAGGTCCAGTGGTTAGTACTCAGCGCTTTCACTGCTGAGGGCGCGGGTTCAATCACTGGTTGGGGAACTAAGATCCCGCAAGCCACGTGGCACAGCCAAAAATAAAATTAAAAAATAAGCTGCAGACATCACACTCAGACAGAGTCAAGAGATAAAATTGTTCAAACCCTTTTCAGGATCTGCCCTGATACATCTCACATATAAAACGACAAGCTGGGTGTGAAATCGGAGACAGGAACATGACTAAATTATAACAAATATGAAATAACATGTCCAACTGCTAACTCACTCTTTTTTAAAAAATAAATTATGGGATAATCATCACAGCATAAATTTGACAATGCCAATGAGATGTATGTAATTTCACATGTGGAGTGAGGAAAGTGCTAAACAAGAGCTACAAAATCTGGTTCCACCCCTGCTGCCCTACTTTTAGTTGTTAAGATCTCCCAGGGCCTTAGGCTCCTCATCTGTGAAATGGGGCTAATAACACTCAACCTGGACTCCTTACCCGGTCCTGCAGGGAGAATCAATGGGTGCTAGAGTGAGTAAAGGGACCGTGAATGGAAGAAAAAGCACACGACACAGTACTGTATAAACTGATGTACGAATATAAACTGTTTTAAGGTCTGCTGCCATATTGAACCAATAAGTTGACCTAATTTAAAAAAAAAAAAACCCTACTACATTGTTGGGTTAAATTCACAATCACATATTTCAGCATATGCTAAAAACTAAAGAAAATAATTAACGGAAGCTTACTATGATTGCTAAAGATTTCTTTTCAAAAGTACTTCTTCACTAGTTCTTCTTCAACATGAAACTGTTTAACCATTGTTTTACAGGATTATTTTGAGGCAGAAATAATGGAACAAATGCATTCATAGGAATAACTAGCATGGCACATTCACTTACACCGTGTCTCACCTTAATTTCTCGGTTTCTTCCCTCATTAGAAAAATACTGTATCTGAGTGCCCACCAAATATCAGGCTAAGCACAGGGTACGTAATTAGGATCTTACAGTTTATACAAAAAAAGTCAAGATATATATGATCACAGAGTGGCCAATATGGTAGAAACAATTAATATTCACTAATATCTAGTTTTTCTTGCCTTTCTGGACACACAGGAAACTACTTCCCAGGCCCCTTGAAGGTAGGAGGGGCCACATGATGAGTTTCAGTAAATGAACTGCAAGCAGAAGTGATGCCAGTTCTGGTGTAAGACGGTTAAAAAGTCCCACCTAGGGCTTCCCTGGTGGCGCAGTGGTTGAGAGTCCGCCTACCAATGCAGGGGACACGGGTTCGTGCCCCAGTCCGGGAAGATCCCACATGCCGCGGAGCAGCTGGGCCCGTGAGCCACGGCCGCTGAGCCTGCGCGTCCGGAGCCTGTGCTCCGCAACAGGAGAGGCCACAACAGTGAGAGGCCCGTGTACCGCAAAAGAAAAAAAAAAAAAAAAAAAAAAAAGTCCCACCTTTTAGTCCTCTCCTCCCCCTCCCAAGGCCATAAAATGAGACAGTGGGCCCTCAAGAGGTCACCAGCCCCCACATATCCTTTAGTCATCACTTGGAACAAGCTGTTCAGGGTAGTCATGAGATCAACAGCAGACTTTGCCACAAATAAGGAACACACTTTCCTGGGGTAACCCACAGAAATGCCAGGAGTTTTCATGTTTGTTTATGTGGCTCTTTTTATTATCACAACACAGCCTAGCCTATACTGACTATTACAGCATAAAGGAGTGACTGACAGAAAACAGAAATTCAATTAAAGAAAGAATAAATGAATGGCTGGACAAATAGTACTGATCAATATGGAACAAAATGGAAGTACGAAGGCAGTTAAGAACTTGAACAGGGGAACTCATGCCAGCGTTTGTACCCTCATTCTGCCACTTGCTAGTGGGGTGGCCCAGCTAAATTTCACTTTCCTCATCAACAGACTGGAGCTACTAACAATACCTACCTCAAAGGGTTACTGAGAATTAAATGAGCTACTACATGTAACAGCACTCAGAACAGCTGCCGGCACATCAAAAGGGACTTAATAAATGTTAATGTCTAAATAAGCAAACGCAAGTAATGGGATTACTGTTAGGTTGTTTTTCTGATATCTGCAAATATTGTTACTAAAAATGAGACTCAAGTTAAATTAAACATGCTTTAGATAAATTTGATACTTGAAAGAAGTCCTAAAATTTCACTTGCCTTAGGTTACTTTCTTCATTTAAGGCAAATTGCTTCCTTCTCTGTATCTTACAAAGGGCTTATCTAAGACCTATTAGCAAAGTGAAATACCACAACGAAGACTTACTGCAGTGACCCTGTCTCCACCATGAGTAACCGGCTTATAATAAGGTGATCCTGAAAGAACTCTCCAGGCAGAGAGTCCACAGCTAGCAGCTTTTGGTATGCCCACTTCAGCAGTTTCACATCCACCGACCAGTAAAAGTCTAAAAAAGAGAAAGATAAAAAGAATTGATAAATTACAAATAGGAACAAGACAACATCAAAACAAAGAGAGCAGAAACCTTCACAAGGAAAACTGAAATAAAATTAGTATATACTAATCCTAGAAGGTAAATATTTTAGAGGAAACCACCAATAGAAAAACCAGATGGGTTCTCAACTGGAATTTCACCTTCATTTACACATTCAAACATCTGAAACTCAGATGAGAACTTAGAAATGAGAAAAAAAATGTTTTCAGGTTGGCCACTGAATATCTGAGGAACTGTATCCACACCAATAAACTTTAATAAACAGATACGTCACCTCACATAGACACATATGTACTAGTGACAGCAGAGCATCGGAAGCAATGAGAGCACAATTACAGATGCTAGAAAGAAATGCCAGCTGGGACGGCTGTGGATGGGTCACTAATAACTATACTGAAATAAGACTGTACATTATGACTGGTTCACTTTTCTGTTTGTTATACTTCATTGCAATTAGAGGCCAGTTACCAACAGGACAAGCAGTCTAACAAGTACTAAAAGTTAAAAGACTATGTGACCACTACACAAACTAAGCTGATTACTAATGGAACCCAACAGTCATGATTTTTAAAGTTAAGTCATGTTTAGTAAATCTGGCAGGGAACATATAAGACATCATAATCACCTATAGAAAAAAGAAAAATGTTTGAAAGTAAAACTTCTGATATATTAAAGGAAAACACTTGTTGTCCCCAATAACAACAAGGCAATGGAGTAACAGAAGAGAGAAGCCACATCCTTCTTAATGCCTCGATTTTTTAAAAAGACCCTCCCTACAGGCAGGAAACTCCCTGCTGCTTACGAAAAAGAACAGGTTTCTCTGGTCATGTCCACACAACGCTCCCGCCTACACAACTATCCCAAATGACAGAAAACATCAGGCTCCCTTTACATCAAAACGTACCTGATATCTATCATCACCAGGCCCCCGCTGTGTCAAAAAAAAAAGGATGCACTTCCTGACACAACAAATTAGTGCTTATCTTTTTCTAGACCATGCTCATAGATAAATCAAAACTCTAAAAATTTTAGTTTCTGCATAGAAATCAAAAGGGGGAAGGAAATGACACTTCCTAAGACTCCTCAGAGTTGGCATATCAAAAGAGTGACTTGGTTTTATGGTTATGTTAACCACTGATAACTCTTAAACTTTCTATAATTCTAAGTACCTCATGAGGTAACACCATGAGTTACTCAATACAGCCCGCTGAGCTATGCTCAAGGGCAGTCAGACAGAGCTCTACACGTTAGTGCAGAAGCAACACCTGTCCTCTGTTGATTCTGCTTACCTTGTGGGGCAAGCAGAATAATGGCCCCCAAAGAGGCCCATGTCTTAATCTCTAGAACCTGTGAACATGTGGCATCACGTGGACTTAGGTTGCTAAGCAAATGACCTTAGAACAGGGAGAGTATCCTGGATTTTCGAGGTGACCCAAATAACCACAAAAGTCCTTAAAAGCACAAGAGGGAAGCAGGAGAGTCAGTGTCACAGTGATGTGATGTGAGAAAAAGATTCGCCCAGTCTCTGCTGGTCTTCAGGATAGAAGGGGCCAAGGAAGCTGGGCTGCTCTAGAAGCTGGCAGAGGTAAGAAGACAGATTGTCCCCCTGAGCCTCCAGCGAGGACACAGCCCTGCTGACACCCTGATCTTAGTTCAGTGAGACCCATTTCGGACTTCTCACCTCCAGAAATGTAACATAAATTTATTTTAAGCCCCTAAATTTGTGGTAAACTGTTAGAGCAACCACAGAAAACTAACACACATCTTGTTTATTCCCCAGCCCCGGAATTCAGACAACCTGTCAGCCTCTAATTCCACCAACTGCCCTCTTCTCATTTGACCACCTTCCTAACTTTCTTCTTTTTCTTCACTCTTAATGAGATATAACTGACATACAGCACTGTATAAGCTTAAGGTATACAGCATAATGATCTCTTTTTCTGTCAGTCTGTTTTTGAAGCACAAGTGACCTACAACACCATGTTAGTTCCTATTCTGAATTAAGCTAACAACAATAAAAAAATAATAATAATTTTTTAAAATCTCATCTCTACACATACTCTCAGATGTAAAACTTTCAAAAGTGCATAAAACCCTTCTACGTTTAGCCATAGAGCTTAGCCCAACTCAAAGTCTCAAAATTCATAAAGTAATGTAAATGTGCTTTATTCGCAAACACAACTGGAGCCTTCAATCAAAGCCTTTTTCCTACTGCTTTTATATGTATAGTCTAACAAGTTTCCATCACAGCAAATCATAAGCAACAAACTTTGAGAAGATGCTTGAAGCAACCCGCTGGGCTATTTCTACCCTTCGCCAGTCCTCAGAGCTAACACGTAATTAACCCTGTTCACCAGGGCAAAAGAGATTTTGGTCCAAAGTCAAGGTAGGAGTATGAGTATCACTTGCCTATAGCAACCATTCTGCTCAAATGATTTTTACACCAAAACAATTTCAAAAAACATAAGTAGACCTAATGCAGATAAAATCATATCATTCCTCTGGCTCTAACTACAAATTTGAAAAAAATACAGTTGAAAAAAGAAAAATACTTCAAACAACACTTCAAAGATGCAATCTAAACAATGGGAAATCTAAATGTAAAATAGATAGCTAGTGAGAAGCAGCTGCATAGCGCAGGGAGATCAGCTCAGTGCTCTGTGACAACCTAGAGGGGTGGGATAAGGAGGGTGGGAGGGAGACGCAAGAGGGAGGGGATATGGAGATATATGTATGCATGTGGCTGATTCACTTTATTATATGGCAGAAACTAACACAACGTCGTAAAGCAATTATACTCCAATGAAGATGTTAAAAATAAATAAATAAATAAAAATAAACAATAGGAAATCTAAAAAGTCTACACAGTAGAAAACTACAGAATGACCTGGCTTCTTCCAAACACACACACACACACACACACACACACACACACACACACATACTCTCTCTCTCTCTCTCTCTCTCTCTCTCTCTGTAAGAGTGAGAGAGGAGGAGAGAATGGAGAGCAGATCAATGAATTAAAAGAGAACACAGTCTGGATATTTGAAGATATGGACAAATTATTGTTAATTATCTTTGCATATGACAATGGTTTCATGTTTATGTTTTTTTAGAGTCCTTATTTTTTAGAAATACACACTGAAATATTCAGATGAAATACTACGCTGTCCAGAATTTACTTCGTGATATTCTAGGCACAGGAGGGTGGAGGCTCGGCTGAGGCCATAGATGAGATGAGGCTGGCCGCGAGTGGACTGTTAAACTGAATGGCAGGCACAAGGGAGTCAGTATATTCTGTGAACATGCTTCAAATTTTCCGTAAGGAACTTTTTTTTCAAAAGTCAGTTTGTTAGGAAAAACTCCTCTGAATAAATAGAAACAAAACAGGTAATTTTGAATATCTACATTTCTGAATATAGTCACAGTACTTTTTCAAACGGAAAACATGTGATTCTCATAAAACATATCTTTAAAAACCAGTAGCCTATTGTTATAATAAAAATAAAACACTATTTGAGAATTCAACAAATCTCTAAAAGGTCAGGATAAAGCAGATCCTGATAATGAAATAATTTTTCTCTACTCAGTGCACAACATTGACCATCTATAAATAAATATATATTTTTTATAGTAACCATATAATTCTTTTCTCAAGGGGTTGAGCATTACTATTTAGTTTGCACTACTATGTCATGGAGAGGACAAATGTCATATTTAATTTTCAGATTTTAAAATATATGTATAAAACTTTACGTTGCCTGACTGTGAAAGGAGAGCTAACTGAGATTTCAGATTTCTTCTTATCTCCTGGTCTTGATACTAGAAGACACTTCCTCCCTATGAATTCTGATAAACATGGCCGTGAATAGATCAAATTGGTTACAACAAGATAAGCTCAATTAAAAATAAAAGAGATTCGGGCTTCCCTGGTGGCGCAGTGGTTGAGAGTCCGCCTGCCGATGCAGGGGACACGGGTTCGTGCCCCGGTCCGGGAAGATCCCACATGCCGCGGAGCGGCTGGGCCCGTGAGCCATGGCCGCTGAGCCTGCGCGTCCGGAGCCTGTGCTCCGCAACGGGAGAGGCCACAACAGTGAGAGGCCCGCGTACCGAAAATACAAAAAAAAAAAGAGGGCAGCAGACAACACTAAGGCGAGAATCTCGTAAAGGAAAACATCAGGGAGAAAATTTCAAAATGCTCCTGAAGGACACAGAGTTATGCATAAAGAGACATACCATGTTCTTTGACAAACTCTCAATACCTTAAAGATGCCAATTCTTCTTAATCTATAAATTGAAAGAAATTTCAAATAAAATCCCAACAGAATTTCTTGTGGAACTGAACAAACTGATGTAATGGAACTAGACAATATAAAATTCACATGGGAGAGTAGAGCTCTGAAAAGAGCCAGCTCCATTCACACTGATAACCTTCCCCTTGGTGGCCTGTGCTTCGTGCATCCTGACCTGTCAAAAACTACCCTACCCTAGTGTCACTGAGATGTTCTCCTTCAAATTTGACTATACTAAAATCTAAAATTCCTCTCCATAAAGTGCAAAGATAAGGCACACACCAGGAAAACTTATTTATAAAACATAAAACTAACAGAGTATATGTTTTAGCAGACAGAATCCATAAAGATCTCCCACAACCAGCCCAAAAGAAAAACGGACAAAAAATAAGCAAGTCACAAGAAGAGAAATACAAAAGCCAGTAATGCAGATCAAAGCAACAAAGATTTATGCCAAAGATTTATACACAGGAACTCTCATAAAACTATTGGTAAGACTGTAGTAATCATTTTGGAGAATGATATGACAATATCTAAAAAATGCACCCCTTCCCAAAAAATACCCCAAATTGAGTTCTAAGACAACTCTAGAGAAATTCTTGCACAGGTATATTTATTTCTTGGTAAAAGAATACCTCATGTAGCACTATTTATAATGCA